CTTTCCCAGATAGTTTCAAAAAACAAAAAAAAAGAGGCTGGCAGTAGCTAAAAAAGGAGCGAAGTCCTATGTAAGTAAGTTGGGTAAGAGCGCGCCTAAATTTTCCCCCAGAGATGACAGTGAAGGCCAGGTTTAGTTAGAAATGCTGGTTTAGCTAAAGGGATAATATTTCCATTAAGGAACAGGGAACTATTGATTACTCAAGTAACCTCAGCTATTAAACAAATGGGAGCCTCAGCAGAGGGAAATTCCAGCCTAGGTTTGGGGAGATGACAGAGGGGACCCCAGGGCAGCACTGGGAACGCATTGACCTGCACTCCTGGGTGCACAACTGCCCTGCTGCACTCACAGGCACCGGGGAAGGGTGAAGGCAAACTGGGCAGACGCCTGTGTGTGCCTCTGCCAAAGGAACTGGGAAACATTCTCTGCAGCGGAGTCGTGGCCAAGAGAGACTGGAACAGGAAGGATTAGAATGTCCAGCAGGACCTGGCTCAGCTCCCAGGGCCCTTGTTGGACCCTGGCACAAGGGCAGCTCCCCATGGTGCCCCAGCCCTCTGCAGAGCCTTGCAGGTCCACAGCCCTATTTCTCAGAGGGCGTTTGTTGCGGGCTGGGTGCCAACAGCCAGCAGAGCACAAGTTCCCAGCGCATCACCCATTGCATTCCGGGGAGGTGGAAATATCTGCCCTTCTACCTCCCTCGCAAAGACCACAAGAAGTGCCACAAACAGCCCTCGTGCCGAGCAGTGACAGCCCACAGCAGGGACAAACACCCACGAAATACAGCACAGCTGTGGAAGAGAGATGGCGTGAAGGCACTCAGGGCTCGCTGGGGACACTCAGCTGCTTCAGCTGATGCGCAGATGCCGGGCTGTGTAATGTTCACATGATCATCCCCTCTGCAGCGTAGGCAAGTTATAGGGTGAACAAAAGGAACAGTGGGGAAGGTCAAGGACTTGGAGGGGCGACTGGGGCTTTCTGCTTGTAGGAGGTTCTGGCACTGTTGCCCTGCTACATTTTGAATATCCTTGAAAAAATCAAGATGAAACACAACCTAGAAGCAGCCCGAGCTGTGTGTGCAGTTCCGCATGGCCAGCAGCTGCCTCAGGGACTGGAACTGCAGAAAAGCAGAGTTAACCCTTCCCGAGCTGCAGCCAGCACAGGCAGAGTCCCATTTGGGAGCTCTTGGGGCCTCCCTCCCACCCCAGCTGCTCCGTGCAGCTCTGCAAGCTGGCAGGAGCTGCTGCCAGAGCCTCTCCCCCCTCTGTGCCCACGTCAGAGGCACGCAGCACAGCTGACTGCGCAGCCACCTGGGTGACAGCGCTGCCACCTCTCCTCAGCCTCCCCTCTGCTAAAAGCCGCTGTGGGGGGGCCTCCAGCACAGCACTGCTGCAGAAGTCCCACGCAGCAGCACAAGCTGTTGCTTTTTGCAGAGTTACCACAGTATGGCCAAGCTGGGCCGCTCCCAAGTGCTCCGTATAGAGCCAGCATCTGTGTGCGGGAAGATCACGCGTCTTGCAGCAATAGCCTTCCCTAATTAAGGTATATTTCTGCTACAAGTCTGCTTTCTTAGGTATGCTTGGGCTTTCCTGACTGCTCCATGGCCCCACTGCTCTCCCCAGCTCCTTAAGTGACGTTTTGTGATTCCACAAACGTAGGAAACATGAAACTTTTTCCAACAGAATGGTTGTGACAGAGGCATCGGCTCCTCGTGTTCTTTGATGTTAAAAAAAAAAAAAAAAAGTTTCTTCAGCTCCACCTGAAGTTCTGTTCTGTGCCTCTTCTCTCTCCTCCCCAGTAATGGTTTGTGATACCTGCAGGGCTTGCCAGCAATGGGCTTTAACCCTAGAAGTTTTTTGCTCAGTCGGATACACACTGTGGGTCTCAATGGGCAGAGGAGTGCCCAGCCCGTCCTCTTTGTTGCTGTGAAGTCCATTCACCCCTCTGCCACGGAATCGGAGCTGTTACAGCACCAGCTGTTCCAGCATTAATGAACAAGCCCAGCTTTTGGAGTAGAAGGAGATGAAATTCCCCCTGGGCCAGCTGAATACATGGGTTCCACTAGGATGCTGCAGGACACAGAAGTGACCATCGCTCCTTGTTCTCTCTGCTAACAAATTGGATCCCCTTTTTGCAACCGTTACACTAAAGGACAACATGACATGCAAAATGTTTCAAGGGCTTTGTTTTCTGCCTCCAAGGTCTGCAGATTCGCAGGATTCACATCTGGAGAACTCCCAGCAATAAATCTGTACCAGGCTGCCTTCCCCAGGATGACTGCTTCCTGCACAGGCTGGGTAAGTCTTGTGACGTGTAGCTTAGGATACCCATCCCAAATGCACACTGCTGGGCTCGGCTCCAACGCACAAACTCTGCTTACAGCTTCCTATCAGCTCCATGTAGCCCAGGGAGGCTGGGTCTCCAAACTTGTGCTGAAGGTTTAAAGGTTTGTACTCTTATCCAAAGAGGGAACTCTGGCCCCCTTCTCCAGAGGGACTGGGGCTGCTGCACACTCCTGCAGGTTTAGGTGTGCCCGGCTCTTCCCAGCAGTGAGCGACACGCGCTGACATCCTGGGGCGACGCGTTTGCAGTTTGCATCGGGCATCCAAGCTCTGACCGGGTCCCAAGAGCCCAGCCCTGCTGTGCCAGGTGCTCAGAGCATTGTGCAAAGCCGCCGCTGCCAGGAACACCCCCACATCAGCCCGAAGGCTGCCGAGGCAGGTGCTGAGCCTGCAGCGCTGGTAGAACCGCCCTGCCCAGTTCCCCCGGCTTCTTACCTTGCCCGGAACCCACTCGGTGCAGCTCTCTCCCCTCCGCAGCCTCCCTCGCTCTCCCTTCCCCACGCCGCCTCGCCTCGTGATGTCAGCTCAGCCCTGCCTCCGCACGCCGCCCAGCGCTCCCTGCCAGCCCCGGTTTTGCTGCTTCCCTTCCAACGGTTTCCACAGCAACACGAGGGGAATCCCATCCTCTGCTCCTCCACCTCTCGGGGCCTCGCTTGGTATCGCCCACTGCAGCTCTTGCTAAGGAGCCTGAAGACCGCAGGAAGGATAAAGGAGACGGCAGAGAACGGCAGCAGGCAGAAGCCGGCAGCAGCAGCGTGACCTGGGGGAATCACCGCACCCGGGGGAAGGGAGAGCAGAGCGGAGTTGCAGTCAGGGCGGCGGGCTGAGATGAAGCACGGTCACCTCCACAGCCCTGCGCTCTTCCCACCTTGCCTTGCATTGCCAGTTCTCCGTTCCTCAGTCCCACATGCTTTTTACATTGGGGCTCTACAAATGCGATGCCTCGCTCACCCTCACGCAAGCTCTACCCAAGCCAGGGATTTGTGCTTCTTGTGCACAGCATGCATGCTTTGCGGGGACTTCCTTTGCTCCAGGTGAAGGTCGGAGAGCAGATATTGATCAGAAACTTAAGGTCGACTCCAGAACAGACTGTCAGGAGCCATCAGACTCATTACTGCTAACCACAGATCCGCAGTGAAAGGGTTTTCTGCAGTATCATTCACAGATGGGTTCAGCAGGGAGAAGGCCAGATCCTACATTTCAAGGTCTGCGGCACATCTTCAATGGAAAGAAATGGCCCAAGGCTTTTTGATCCCTTCCCCCCAGCCGAGATGCTGTTTCTTTTCAGAAGTATTGCTGCATTAGAGAACAGGTCACTTCCTCTATCAGTGAGAATTCAGTGTCCTATTTGATGCTAGTTCTTGAGCTATAAATAGGAATTTTCCCCTTTTATAGTTGCTGAATAATTTTCTAAATGAAATATGAACACAGTTTTCAAAGGAGTGCCTGATAAGCAGCTTGCTGGAGAGAAATCATTGAACAGAAGGAATTTACAGCACCTGCAGAGCATCACATGCTATGGAAAACATTCAAGGTCACAGTGATGGAGGCTGGTCACAGAACAGATCCAACTGCAGGGGACAGAGCCTCGCGTGAGCTCCTCACAACAATTCATTTTGTGCTCTGCATTTGGGCAAGCTGGCGATCAGCTGGAAGAAGCCCAGCTCAGAGAGCCAAGAGCTGCCATCCCACACACAGGAGGAGCAGGCAGAACAGGTTCTGAGAACAACAGTAGGCAAGCAGCAAAAGGACAGACTCCCAAACGATGAGGAAGAGCATAATTTAACATCCATCATCAAAAGAAAGAAGGGAAGAACACCACAGATGCAGAAGAAACAAGCTTGCCTTCAAAAGATGGAAAGTGCTGATCAGAAGTACAGAAAGATAATAAAACCATCAGAGCACAGAGAGACTGCATGGCACCCAGTGGTGCCGAAGGGACCAGTCCTTTCTGGAGGAAGCAGGCACAGGCAGCCTGACCCCGTGATGGCTGTGATGTCACACGGCCTGAATCAAAGCCTCAGCTGCAAGCAGCTGCCGCCTGGGACCAAAGGCACTGGAGAAAAAACGACTTCTCATCAGCACCACCTTCCTCTGGGATTCCTGAGAACCCATGGCAGGGCCTGGGATGCTATGGAGGCAGGATAACGGGAGAAATGCCTGCAGACCCTTCATCCCAGCAGATTTTGTCCTGTGCAGTTTGACAGACGCTGGTCAGGAGGGAGGTGAGCAGCAAGGTATGAAAGGCACAAGAGGAAACAGAAGGCAGCATCTGGCTCACAGTTACTGCAAGAGAGGAAATCACGGCAACTCCTCCCCCCACCAGCAATTAGAAAGGAAGAGGGAGGAAAGGCTGGGTATGACATCAGTTGTAAAAATACCTGAGAGGAGCTCTGACCACAGATGGTCAGCATACAGAGCTGTGCTTCCAGCGCCGTGCACGAAGAAACAAGAGGCACAAAGTCAGCGAGAGGCATTGCTATGGTGATACAAAGCACTGAAACCCTCATTAGAGAGCAGAAGGGATTTTGGCCGTGTTTTAAGCTGCACAGAAACGTCCTTGGAATGGCATCAGGGCAGAGGTTCACCCCCCACCTCTGTTAGTATGTGCCTGCTTCCCTTCTTCCATGTCTGCAGGTCAAAAGGACACAGCAACAGATACAAAATGCAAAGGGGTTATTTTATTGTTGATTCAGAGGTTAGACAAGGCACCATTTGATCTAAAAGAAATGCAAAGAACCCAATTGTTATTTGTGCAGTCGATTAAGAAAGGTTCTTTTGCATTTCTTCAGCATTTTGTGAATTCCAGCTTGGTCGAGATCACAGAAAAGCCACCTGATTGCTCACACAGCACCACAGCCCTCAGCTCAGCAGCAGCAGAACGTGGGGAAGTCTGTGCTGGGTGGAGGAATGCAGCAGAACAAGAACATCAAAACTTTCAGGAAAACACAGCAGCCTTTTTTTTTTTTCTTTTTTTTTTCCCTCCCTCCTTTTCTACTTCAGAAAAGTCTTTTGTTCATTTTGGTCCTCGCTGACAGGAAGCAGCTTTAGAAATCACAGCAAACCTTCAATAGCCTCCAGCTTCTAAGAACCAGTGAGATGAGCACTGAAAGCCCTGGAGAAGCCTGGAATGGTACCTGGCCCTGCCTGCCAGCATCTGTGACCGGGCTCTGGTCACTGCTAGAGATGCTGCTTCGAATAGTTTTGCTTTCCTAAACACTGGTTTCTAAGCAGAAGGCCACCTCCTCTTCAGAATGATTCCGCTGAATAAGAAATACAAACAAAAAACAACCAAGCCAACCCCTAATCCCCTTGTTTACCACCTCCTTTTTCCTTCCCATCTATCCCCCCTCCCAGCTGCCCTCCCTGCCTCCCCTGCACCAGGGGGAGGCTGCAATGGCTGACGTAGCAATGTGCAGCGTTTGGTGAGGTCTCATCTGGTTCACGGAGTCACTCAGCTGGAACAAATGGGAACAAAGAAAAAAATACATTTAGGGAAAAACCAAAATGGTTTATGGCATAAAAGGCTGTCGAGCTGGATGCAAAGCAAACACAAGGGAGAAAAAGAAGTGGAGAGTGGAAGAGCACACTGTTCTTGCTGTGGAAACCTCAACCAGATTCAGGAATGCCAGCTGGCCAGGAACCCTGCATTATGACAGCATTAGGGGACTGTGGCTCTGGTTCTCTCAAGAAGCCAAGATAAAAGCTGCTTCCAGTCAGTTTCTTTACATCACTGAGAGGCAGAGGCAGCTCTAACACATCTTTTCTGCCCCAGAGCACAGCAGTCCTGCACCGAGTGCTCAGCCCACCTTCCTGCACACTGAAGCCTTTTCTTGGGAGAACACCAGTGCTGAGGTAACAGCCATCCGGGGAAACTCAGGCAGCTGATGAAACCAGCACCCCTGGTTACTTTCAGATCCCCTCTCTGCACACTCACGCTTTCAGGAGCAAGAAATCAACTGCTTTCAGTTTCTAGCATTATTTCCAGTTTGCTGAAAAGGAAGAGGGCCGTTTTCCTGGAAAGAACATATGAGGACAGAGTCATTTCCAGACAAAAGAGTAATTATCAGGAAACACCAAGGCATTTCAGAGGACCGAGCCCCTGTTCTGACACAGCCCAGCACAGGGGAGGAGAGGGAGACGCGAAATCTTCCTTGAAAGGGAGGACTCAGGAACATGAGATCACTAACCACACACGTCAGGCCAAAGGACAAAGTTTTATCTGGGCCAGTCTGCATTGCAGTGAGAGCTTCTAGGCAGGGCTGGGTGCACGCGTGGACAAAGGTTGTCACCAGCCTTGCAAGGTTGTTCGTGGTGGCGTAATGGCACCGAAACGTCCAAGCAGCAAGCAGAGCTGCACAGCCAGGACGAGCTGTTTGACTTTGCTCGAGAAAGATGAGCTCACAAAAATGGTCATTGGCTGAAGGGCCACGAGGCCAGCGGTCAACAACTCTGTCCCCCGGGCTTTGAAAAAATCATGTTTTGCAGTAAGGCTTTATTTAGACATTGGGATCAGGGGAAACTCAACACACCTTCATCTCCTTGGCCAAAGCCAAGGGAAGGATGCAAGAATAGAACTGATATCCAAGTCCTTTTCTTGTCCTCCAGAAATCAAATCACTGCAGTGACTGCAGCCTGACCAGAGACTTCGTGTTGTTTGTTTGTTTCTTAAAAGCCTCTCACTAATACTTTCTCATGTTGGAGTCCATGCCTCACCACACCTGAACTGGAAAAAGTTTTGAGTCCACAAATGAGAAACTGAAAACCCCCATTGTCTTTCACCCTATTTTTATGCCACAAACAGCATCAGAACGGAGAGAAAACCACGCTCTTGGGGAACCTGCTGTCCCACAGGGTAACGTGCATTCAATGGAAACAAGTCCTCACCCAGCCCTGAGCAGCAGCAGGCCGCACGCACAGCCAAGCTCTGCCTCCCACAGCTGCTCATCCTCTGGGAGCAGCCAGGAATAGCTGGAAGTACAGCTGCTTCTCCCGGGGAGCTGCAGCTCCACAACGAAGCCAGAGCACAAGGGTGCAGAGCTGAGTTCTGACAGCTGCGCTCAGGCGCGCTGCGACCTCTAGGGGCCGAGCCGCCCGCACCTGCGGACAGACCGACGTCCAGAACACTGAGATGGAAACCGTTCAGCTCGTTTAATAGAGAATTAGCAGAGTCCTGCCTCGGGCTGCATCACCCCTCCTCATCTACTCTATTTAGCTCTTCACTCTTCCTGGCCCCGAGGAGACAGAGAGAGACAGAAAGAGAGACAGAGATGGAGAAGGACAGACAAGGGTGAGCTCCATCAGGGACGGAGCCCTAAATGAACATAACCAGATCTTTACATGTCGCTCTCGAGAAGGCTGCCAGGATGCTAGCAAACACCACATCAGGAGACTGGGAGGCATCCACCGCAGTATGGATCCCTCGCTTGCTGTAGTAGGAGACCAGGGGGGAGGTCTGTGTGTGGTAGGCCTTCAGGCGGGTTTTCAAGGCTGTTTCATTGTCATCTGAGCGGCGGATCAGGGGCTCTCCAGTGACCTGGGAGAAGCAAGGGGACAATCTCCAGCCAGCTGCAGCCTGCTGCGCTCCCCCCTTCTCTGTGCAGCTGCAACCCCTGCTCCCCTGCTCCAGGCTGGGCCGCAATGCAGCGCTGCAGAGCTGAGTCCCCAGGTCAGCGTGGGAGAGCGGCGTGAACCCAAAGCAGCCAAACCAAGTCCCAGAGCCGTCACTGAAGAGAAGGATTCAGCACGATGGTCTTTCCCTCACACACCATTCTGCTCGCTAAAAGGAGCCCCAGGACCGAATGCCAGCTACAGCTGCTCCCCAGGAAGGAAAGCATTTGGGACCCATTGCAACTTCAGCTAAGGACAGAGGCCACCAAGCTGTGACGTGGCAGAGCCCGGGCTCCACAGAACAGCCATTCCCTTCGCTCATCCCTCTAGGCCTTGCTCCCTGCAGTACTGTTGGCCTCGGCTGCCCAAGCAGATCCCCACGCTCCCCAGAAAGGCGGGACAGAAGGTGGGAGAAAAGGAAACAAGTTTTTTCCAGAGATGCTGCAAAGCACCAGCTAAACCCAAAGCAAGGTAAGCTGCGGCCTCGGAGCTCACATACATCGTCCTTCATGTGCTCTTTCGGGGGTCTGAACTCCTCGTGATAAGAGCGGCCGCTTGCTGGGTGAATCAGCCTAAGACAGAAAGCAAGTGTCAGCAAAGGGGTCCTGTGCCAGGATGAGGTCTCCTGAACCTGCCATTCATCAGCACAGAAAAACCTGCTATTAGGAGAATGTTCTCTAGCTATTTTGGTACCAACGGCCTCTTCAAGAGCTTGGAATAAAGTTGTACTAGGAAGTGGAGGAGCACAAAGGTGATGGTGCCACAGCAAACAGCAGGAGACATCTGCATCTCTGCACAGCCAGGACTGATCATGAACAGGAGGTTCAGCAGTGCCCAAACGGCCTGCATAAGGGAGAAGTAATAGCACTAGAGAAGCAGATATTAGCTGTCAGACAGCAGGCTTAAGGGCTGAGCTGGGTCACCAAGGTTGTTGATTCATATCAGCAACAGGCTGTGTTCAGATTGGCCCAGGCATGGAAGGCTCAAACAGAGCAGGTTTCTGACACAGGGCTAACTGCAGGGCTGGTCTCAGTGCTGTGACAATGACCAAAATGATCCCAAACAAGGACACTCTCCCATGAACCAGGAGCCCCAGAGCTTTTGGGAGACAAGAGTTACCGTCCGGTGATTCTCCGTATGAGCAAGGAGTCAGGGATGCTGAACTCAATGACGGAGTCCAGTTTCTCTCTCCTCTTCTCCAGGAGCTCATCCAGCTGCAAAAGCAAACGCCCAACTCAGAGAGGCAGATGCAAACCACGGGCTCCCCATCTCCCAGAAGAAAAGAGCTGCCCGAGCAGCAGCTCACCTACCATCTCAGCCTGCTTCACCGTGCGCGGGAAGCCGTCCAGCAGGAAGCCGTTCTTGCAGGGAGGGGTGTCGAGGTTGTTCTCAATCAGCTCCACCACCATCTCATCGCTCACCTGCAAGAGGAGAGATGGCTGCGTGGTCAACAGGCAGCAGGACCTACAGAGCAGCTGTACTTGTGCCAGCACCCAGCCTGCACCAGAGCCTTCCTACGGCCGATCCCAGTCCCAAAGGCAGAATCACAGGTCACTGCTGTAGCAGGGTGAAAGCTGCACGCTCCGCCATGCCCACATCCAGGGCCCCTGGTGCCAACATGAAGACCCGACGAGCCCACGAGGCATTGCACACCAGGGACACCCCGGCCTATGCAGGGACTTTTAACAGTGAAGTTACAGCTCTGGTGCAAAGGTTGTATTTCAAAATGGGCAATCAATCTTAAGACAAATTCCCTAGATCTCTCTCTCTTTTTTTCTTAAGCCAATTCTCAGTACAACCATTGATACCAACATAACCTTTATTTCCTGTTACTTTGTTCCTTCGCTCACACATCTCTGAGCAAGCAGGCCAGGCCAGGAAGGGCAAAGCATGTGAATTGTTCATTATGCTTGTGAACCATGTGTGAAGGTAAATGCCCAAATAGCTGCTGACACTCTGACCCTGCTGGGCAGCTCTTCCCACATCACCACCTCAGTATATCTGGAACCAGTGCCTTCTCTATGCTGCAGCATTTCAGAAGTACTACCAGGTGCTGCAGCCCCAAGAACGGGTGTCTGTTCCAATAGCAGCTCTCCTTATCATCAGCAGTGCTGCTTCCTCCAGTATGCACAGCTGAGACCCAGCAGGACCCAGGAGCAGGCTGTCACTGCACACAAACCGGACCACGAAGCAGTGGGTGGGGAGCAGCCTGGGTAAAGCAACACTTCTGTGCTTTCCTGATTACCCCTTTCAGGGAAGGGATGAACACATAATTGAGCATAAAAAAAACCATCCCAGATCCAAGTGCTGCTGTGCTCCCAGCTGAGTTATCGGGCGGCCAGAGCACCCACGGGACACAGCAGCACAGCGCCCGCACCTCACACAGGCGGCAGATACCAGCGCTCACCAGATAAGGTCCCTATCTTTCACAACCAGGCTCAGTGTTGCAATGCACGCTTTAAGCTAAAGCTGGACGTGTGCCACCTCGTTCCTGAGCCTGCAGTCTCCTCGGGGTGTTATGAGCCAGTGGCAGCAAGCCGCAATGCCCCACATCTGCCCACGCTGCTTCGCTGTGGGGCAAGGCACCGTGGTTTGCTGCCCCTCAGGTTTCCTTAAGGGATCTCAGTAATTTTGAAAGATAATTAGATCTCCAGAACAGAAATGTGCTAGAGAACCTAACCCTGGGATGCAAGTGGCTTTTGTGCAGCATTACACTGTTACGCTGTAACTCCCACAGCAACATTCCTAAGTCCGCTTTCATGTTACAGTTACAGGCAAGCAGAAGATCTGGGATGCAGATGAAAGGAGAAAGTCGTCAACCCTGCAGTGGCCTGGAATGTGAAGTGACACTGGAACTGTGTCGTGTGCGAAAGCTCCAAGACTGAAAGGAACAAGTGAGGACACAGAGGCTGCAGGTAAGCAAGGAGAAGGTTGATGGAGGAGGATGCTTTTACAGGACACTCCTCCTGCAGGGTAATAAGGAGAACGTCGCCTTCACCCTACAGTCTGCCCTTCCTGCACATACTGGGTTTTGTCACTTGGGCTTCTGACAAGGAGGTGCATTTTGGCTGCTGCTGGTACAGGATGTGTCAGTCTGTCCCCCCAGCTGCTACCCACCAGCTTCCCGGAATCCATCGTCTCTTTGAGTCGCTTGCCCAGCTCGGAGCCCGAGGCCACCATGGCCCGCAGCATGTCCCCCGTGGCCAGGTGGCAGACACAGTACGTCTCGGCCAGCTTCGGAGCCTGCAGGAAAGGACGGACGGAAGGTGAGCGCCCAGCGCGGTGATTTCAGCGGCGGCCCCGCGGCGCAGCGCCCGGCTCGGATCCGGGCAAGGAGAGGACGAGGCCGCTCCGATTTGGCTCCCACCGGGACGGGCTCCCCCAGACCCAGAATCACACCGACCGGACCTCGTCCCCGCTTTCGGCAGCGGGACGGGACGGAACGCGCGGCTCCAGGAAACCCTACGGGGGCCGCGACAAAGGCCCGCACGCCCGGTGCCCCCGCGGGGCTGCCACGCACAGGCCCGTGGAGCCGGGCCCGAGGAGGTCGCGCCGCGCCCGGGCTCAGCCGGCCGCCCCCTCACCTGGGTGCCCTTTCCGGCGCCGGGCGGCCCCAGCAGCACCGCGCGGATCCCCCGGCGGATTCCCGCGCCCGGCGCCTGCCCGCTGCCGCCCCCCGCCTGCGCGCTCGGAGCCATGGCCGCCACCGACTGCGCCTGGCGGGGTCACGCGGACACGTGGGGGGCGGGGCCACGCGAGTGGTGGGCGGGGTCGCGGGGACGGTGGGCGGGGCCACGCGGACGAGGCCGTGCGCGGGGAAGCGGGGGCCGTTGTGCGGGCGCGGGGGTCGCCGCCGTGCGGAGCGTGCTGGGTGCGAGCTGCCGGCGCGAGGCTTTCCTTACGCAGGGACTAAAGCAGCTCCGGGAGGAACTCGGGTGCGGCGCTGCTGGGCCACAGCCTGAGAGCTCTCCGTGACGCAGCCGGCTCGCTCGCCCCCTTTGAATTGCTTTGAATTGCTTTGCCCTGGCTCCATCTGGATCTGCTCCTGCGCTGCCCGTGTCGCGGTGTGGGCACAAAAAGCCTTCAGCGCTTGCGGGGACCCGATGCCCCACTGCAGGGAGTGTCTCTATACGGCGCGTTTATAGCTGCGGCTGCTCCTGGTGCCCGACTGAGGGTGGAACAGGGCAGGATGCCGCCGAAGAAGAGAGCTTCCCTGCCCGGGGCTGCCAGGAGAGGCCATGACGGAGCCAGTGCTGAATACAAGAATAAAAGCTCCGGATCCCTTTCATCTCCTGTATGGAGGGGGGGCAGCTGCTCCTCCGTGCTCTGAGTGTTGTCTTCTCAGTGACCAGAGAGCAGGAATTGCAAATTAACAAGAAGAAGTAGAAAAAAAATCCACTCAGCCTGTGGTGTGAGTGGGAGGGAGCCATGGAGCCATTTCCAAGTGCACGAATGCAGGCGAAGGCAGACACGGGGCATCTGCATGTTTGGCAGGGCTGGCTCTGCTGCTGGGAAACACTGGCAGCAGCACGACAGAGGGCAGAGTCAGTCCCTGACATCTCCCTGCCCACCTCCCCCGGCCAACATCCCTACCAGGCAGGCGCTGCTCAGCTTTTATCTGCACAAAGCCTCGTTGCCCTGGAAGCGGTGCTTCAGAGGTATTTTTGGCACTCTTCCCCCCAAGGATCCCCGCGCACGCGATGCACGCGCAGCCACAAGCATCCTCAGAGCAGGGCCGGGCTGCAGGCAGGCTCACAGCTCTGTGCTGCGCGGCTGGGGATGAGCGACCAGCTACCGGGGACGCGGTGAGAACCCAGAGTGTCCGCGGGGGCAGCCCCAGCCATGGGAGCGGGGGGTTGGGGGGGGGGAATGGTGCTCGCTGTGCTCCGGGAAAGGGATGAAGGATGCTCGGAGGCGGCTCAGCCAATGGGGTTGGCCGGGCTCGGTTGCCACGGCCACGGTTGTGAGGCAGAGCAGGAGAGGGTGCTGAGACTTGAAGGCTGAGGAGCTTCCCCCCCTGCAGGCTTGGCTGGCTTAGGGTGTCGGGGCAGGCGGGGCACCGGGGCAGGATGAGCCGCTGCAGCTGAGGGCAGTTTGTTCTCGCGGGAGCCTCATGGCCACAGTCTGCTGAAATGCCTCCTGAGGTGGCAGAGCTGCGGGGCTGCTGGCTTGCCTGGCTCAAGGCAAGGGAGGAGGGGAACAGAGGGCAGTGCCTGGAGGCACTGAGTTTCGAGAATGGTCTGTAATGCCTTTGGGGGGTGAAGGGTGAGGCCGGCGGAGTTGCTCTCCTTTTATGAGTACAGAGCCCCTAGAGCCTCCCAGCTCTTTCCCTGTGTCTGGGCTTTGCTGCTGGTGCTTGCTCAATGTGTTACAACACACTGCTGCTCGGGGGTCAGTGTGGTTTTTCTCCCGGTGCCTATCTGAAATGCTCTAAGTAGGTCCCTGCAGAGGAGGAGGTGCTGCTCAGCTCTGAGAAATGAAATGTTTGTCTCCTGCTCACTTCTGATCAGAGGGACAATTTTCCTGTAAAAGCCCTGTGGCGAGACCTGGCTTATTGGAGTGGAAATGTTTCCTGTGAGCCTGTGTTAGGTCTGCGGCTCCCTGGGTTATGGGATGTGCTGGATCCAAGGAAAGAGGCTGCTAAAGCTGCTCCATGAATTGTGTGAGCCAGGAAACACAACCGTGCTGCCTAGCTTGTCCTCTTGTTCCACACACTGTGTCATGGGAGAGAAGTGAAACTGCAAGCACAGCATGGATCCACGTCTAGGAGTGCTACGTTCTTTAGAAATGCCTTGCTTTTCTTGAGGCTTGTGTGGCCAGAAGTGGGTCTGAGACTTTGGCAGTTTGAAAACCACAAGGAAACTTCTCCCCCTGAAACATACAGCAGGTCTAACTGCATGCCGAAGCACAAAAACACGCGTTCTGGATATATAAAGCACTGGCTTCACAGTGAAGTTGGCTTTGTTGTTCGTGGCACCGGTGCCGAAGTGCTGCTGAAAAAGGCAGCTGCTGTGAACAAAAACACAGAGCTCTGCACTGCAGAGAAACTCGCCTCCTCCCCCTGGTGAGCGCGTTTTAACCCCAGCGCTGCTCTGAGTGCCGCTTTGGAGGAGAACAGCCGGGGGCTCCGGAGGCAGCGCTCCCCGCACACCGCGCAGGGCTGGGGGCGCTTTGGGGACCAGCCGGGACGCCGCACTGCTGGACTTTCCGGAGCTCCGCCTCTAACATTTCCTTTCTTTTTCCCAGCGTGCTGCAGATTGAGGAGCCGGAGCCGCTCGAGGAGGCTTCGCGCTGGTGTTGTCACACCTTGACCATGAACGGGTACCTGAACGAATCCAATTTCACGATGGTGGAGGAGGGCTTCACCAGCAGGGACCTCCTGGAGAGCACCCTGCTGGAGCTGTGCCGGGCGGTAAGGGCGGGCAGCTCTGCCGCGCTCTGCGTCCGTCCCCCCTTGGAGCAGGGGGTCGCAGAGCAGCCACTACCGCTCACTTCAGCTTCGTCGTAGGGTGACCGGCAGGCCTTCTTCGTGGCAGACCTCGGAGACATCGTGAAGAAACACGTGCGCTTCCTGAAGGCCTTGCCCCGCGTCAAGCCCTACTTCCCCGTGAGGTGCAACAGCGGCGGAGCGGTGATCCGGCTGCTGGCTGAGCTGGGGGCGGGCTTTGCCTGCGCCAACAAGGTGCGGCGGGGAGCGGCTCGGGATGAGCGTTCCTCGGGCACGCGTGGGGCTTCCGCTCGCTAGCCGGCATCTGCAGCAGCAAGAGTCTCCCCCTGCTGTCAGAACCCTGCCCACACAGCCCAGGACGCCCCGTCCTGCTGTCCGGTGATTCAGGCTCGCTCCCTTTCACCGACATTTTCTCTGTCTAACCGTTGTCCTGCCTGGCAGCCGTGGCTGCGATCAGGGCGCGTCCCTGGGGTGCCGCTGCCGCCGCCGTCCCCTCTCAGCGGTTTTAGGAGCGAGCGCAGAGCTCCTGCTCCGTCCTGCTCGCCGTTTGCTGATGGCCAGATTCCGAGGAGAACCAAAGTTAAGCCACTTGCTGGCACACAATTGAACAGGACATGTGGCCAGGGGGAGAAAGTGTGGGGATTCATTACAGCTCAGATCTCACTGCATTTCAAAGGGAAGATGCCAAACCTGCGCCTCCTCAGTTTTTCTGCTTGTTTTCTCTCCTCTTGGTCTTGTGCTGCATGTAAACACCTTGCCTCAACCTTCCCATGTCAGGACAAAGCCCACAGTGACCCCTGTGAGCTCTGGTAGATTAGGAAAGTTTTCTTGAGCAAACTCAGGCTGCGGTGCTGGCGGTTTGCCCTTTGCAGTGCTACAAGCTGGCCGGGGCCCGCAGCCAGGCACAGCCCAGCACAGCAGCGCTGTTCCCAGAGGCCTCACGTGTGCTGTTTCCCTGCAGACAGAGATTGCAGAGGTTCAAAGCATCGGGGTCCCAGCTGACAGGATTTTCTACAGCAGCCCTTGCAAGCAGGTTGCCCACGTCAAATATGCAGCCAGCCACGGTGTGCAGCTGATGACCTTCGACAACGAGGTGGAGCTGAGCAAGGTGGCCAGGAGCCACCCTCAAGCTAGGTGGGTGTTGGTGCAGAATCTGGAGGCAGCATTGGACTGGGGGTCTACGGTGGGATTCGGAGAGGTGGCTGTGGGCTGGTGGAGGCCCAAAGACTCAACAGTGCTTTTTGCTGTGCAGGATGCTTTTGGGTATTGCTGCTGACCCCAGCCCTTCTGCCCATCCAAGCATGATGTTTGGGGCCACGCTCAAGTCCTGCCGGCGCCTGCTAGAGTCAGCAAAGGAGCAAGATGTGGAGGTTGTTGGCATCAGGTAAGGCGTGTCGTCCTTGTCCCCTCAGGGTGCTGAGCCTCTGTTGGGCAGCCCTGCAGGGAGCTCTGCCCTGCTAGAACAATTCAGGAGTCCACAGAGCACTGCAGGGCGGGATGGTCGGGCAGTGAGGTGGGGGCTGGCACCTAGGGAAGATGTCCCTTGTTGGCACCAATCTGGGGCAGGTTTGGCCTGCAGAGGGCGGCTCAGTGGTGTGGGCTGGGCAGTCTCTCCCAGGAAGGTATGTGGGAAGCACAGAGCTGTTGTGGTGGGGATCTCTCAGTGCCATGTCCCCCTTCTGCCACCGTGGAATGGGCAGCCCTTCTGAACAGAGGCTGTGCCCTCAGCTTTCACCTTGGGAGCCACAGCCTGGAGCCCCAGGTTTTTGCCCAGGCTGTCGCAGAGGCACGGCTGGCATTTGATGTGGGCACAGAGCTGGGCTATCGAATGCACCTCCTGGACATCGGAGGGGGATTTCCTGGCACCGAGGACACCAGAGCCCAGTTTGAGGAGGTATGTGCCTCCCAGTGCTGGCTCTGGGCAGGCAGAGTGAGACTGGAGCTGGTTCCCTGCCCTGAGCTGAGCAGCATGACTGAGCTCACTCCAGGTGCATCTTCCCATCCAGATTGCTGCTGTGATAAACTCTGCACTGGACATGTATTTCCCGGAAGGCTGTGGGGTGGAGATTGTTGCCACACCGGGGCGATACTATGTCACCTCAGCCTTCACCTTTGCAGCCAGCATCACTGGCAAGGAAGAGGTTCCCATGGAGCAGCCAGGCTCTGATGGTAAGTGGGATTCACGGGATGGATCTGCCTCTGTGCCCATGTGCCCCCGAGCCTCTCCCTTCTCCCCAGGGGAAGAGTCTGGCAGCAAGAGGAGCCTTGTCTATCA